TAACTGAACATCGCTATAATGATTTAAACACTGAAAGTGATTGCCCGATAGTATTCTCTGATGAGATACGTATGCACGTAATACGTAATATTATGATAATCAGAACCCTGAACATCAAAGCATGTTATAATATGATCAAGTGTTTATTAGTAACATCTTTATGGTTAAAAGACATGATTGCATTTTAATTAATGGTACATTTATATAAGAAGGGCTTCAATAGGCAGGCACACGAACGTCTTCGAACAGTGGAATCAGCTCCCTTGAGGTAAGAACGTGTGATGTCGGACTTTCATTTTCACATCGTTTGTTAGGACTGGGCACATATTTGGCAACGTTTAGCCCCCTCACAAACCGTTAACAGTATTAGCATTATTTAAACATAACAATTGACATCTGCACAAAATAACCATCACAGGTAATTTATTGTAAATATATTTAGATCTTTTAGATCAATCTGGTTAATACATCTACCCATAGACGGTGTGACAATTGAACATTTTGGTTTAGTTGAGATGGGAGCTCCCATTTTGTAAAACCGACTTAAGAGGGGCACCTTCGTTTTCTCGAAATTCATTTGTGCAGTTTAATGGATATTCTCAAAATAATTCATGATTTAACTTAGTGCAAAAGTAGCATTCCTTTGTACGCAATCCGCTGAACTTCCTTCAACAACATTAAAAGTTAGTATATGAGCTTAACGTACTGGATTCCCTGATTTTACAGGGGAAATCATTTCAGAAATTTTGTATTTCAAAAGAAAAAAATGACTGAATGCGATATTTCACTGTTTTTCAATTTTCGGTATATTATTGTTTATTCAATTGTCATTTGCATGATATTTCTTATAGGGCCATAAATAATAATTAATGTGTGGCGGCCTATGAGATTAAATGATCAAGAGAGACTGCCATGTCCCAAAATGTCAATTCCAGTAGTTTCCTGGTTTGTACAAGTTAGGCATGACAACGGGAAAGATAACAAGTTTGACTATTTGCCTGAATACAAGTTTGATATTTTAACTATTTTTATACAACGAAATGTAATCCTTTGTTTGACGATTTAGACGTTAGTATTGAAGATACACATTATCAACAAATTAACATTTCTCTAAATACAAACATGGTGTGTTTTGAAGATTTTCATACAATAGCTAATATACATACATTTGAAAATGTCGAAATGGACTTTCTGAGAAAAACATTCAACTTAAAACCTTAATAGGCGGAAAGTGATATCAGAGGCAGGGCAGCTCAATATTCAATTTAATTTAGTTCTTACTGTGTATTTAAGTAGATATACAGTTCCAATATATATTTTGATTTCCTATATACAGTTTCATTTTGTGACGTTTACATGTATATAGACCCAGGCAACCAACACTTGTAGCTTCTACCTTGATACCTTCGTCTCACTTTCCTTTGTTGCCACAATTTTATTGTCTGTTTATTCGATAAACGTTCCTTTCCTTTCATTTTCCCGCATTCTAAAAACATTGATTATAATGTTCTCCGATAAGATACATACATGCACCTACTACGTAATATTATAATAATCAGCGCATTAAAACATCAAAGCATGTTATAATAATATCAGAGTGTTAATCAGTAACATCTGTATAGTTAAAGGACGTGGAATACATTTTGTGAATTAATGCTACAATGGATATAAGAAGGGCTTCAATAGGCAAGCCCACTCAAGTCTTCGAACAGTGGAATCAGCTCCCTTTGAGGTAAGAACATGTGAGATGTCCGACTTTCATTTTGACATTGTATATTGGGACTGGGCACATATTTGTAACTTTAGCCCTCTCACAAAAATATTGAAATTATCAGCATTGATTTTACATAAAACAATTGAAGTCTTTAAGCAAATTAACCATCAGAGGTACTTCATTGTAAATATATGTAAATCATTTTTATCTGGTCGATACACCTACCTATGGACAATGTGACAATTGAACATTTTCGTTCAGTTAAGATGGGAGCTCCTATTTTGTAAAACCGACTTAACAGTTGCACCTTCGTTTTCTCAAAATTCATTTGTGCAGTTTGATATAATGGCTATTCGCTAAAATAATTCATGCTTTAACTTAGTGCAAAAAGAAGCGTTATTTGGTAAGCAATAACCGAACTTCCTCCAATCACAGTAAAAGTAAACATATGAGCTTAGTGTACAAAGAAGCCCTGATTTACAGGGGGCATCATTTCGAAATTTTGTGTTGTTTTAAAATGATTGAATACAATATCTCACTGTTTTCAATTTTCGGTGTATTATTGTTTATTCAATTTTCATTTGCGTGATATTTCTTATAGAGCCATAAATAATCATTGATGTGTCATGGTTAAGAGATTAAATGACAAGACAGACTGCCATGTCCCAAAATGTTAATTCCAGTAGTTTCCTCGTTTGCACAAGTTAGGGCATGACAACGAGAGAGATAACAAAATTTGACTATTTGCCTGAATACAAGTTTCATATTTTTTAACGATTTTAATACAATGAAATAATCCTTCGTTTGACGAATTCAGACGTGATTGATCATTTCCTAAATACAGACATGATATATTAGAAGATTTCAATACAATGTCTAATATAAATATTTTTAATATGTCGAAATGGACTTTCTGAGGAAAACGTTCAATTTAAACCTTAATAGGCAGAAAGTGATAGTTTTTGTGTAGTTTTATTCATGAACTCATTTTGTATGCATATTGCTTTTACATACAGAAGAGACAACATTTCGTTTTCAAAATAAGTAAGAGTTTACATTATCCTGCTATTTCTAAAACTATTTCCCTACATTTCATCACTGACTGATCGAGTTTTGGTTTTACGCCGCTTTTACGCCGTTTTACGCCGCTTTTCCAGCAACATCACAGCGGGGACACCAGAAATGGGCTTCACACATTGTACCCATGTGGGGATTCGAACCTGGTTTTCGGCGTGACGAGCCAACGCTTTAACCATTAGGCTACCCCACCGCCCACATTACATGAATATATGTATACATACGTTATTATTAATAAGCGAAAAACAAAAGTGTATATTGAAGTGTTCATGGTACAGAATGATAACTGTTTATCTCCATGTTGTCGAGGGCGGAATTCATATTCCAAAGCTTCACATCAGATAAAACATACAGATGTAACAGAGGTTTTGCATAAGTATGTGTGTATGCATAATAAACTGAAGACAAAGAGTTTGTAATTCAAAGCTTTAACATGAGTTGCTCAATACTTCAGCGCTCGTTTTCATGCCTATCAACTTATAATTTCTCCTACAGTCTATGCAAAGGCCTGATAACCATAAAGGCAGACACCTGGTGTCAATGTTCTCAAAGGAACACCCGATGTCAACTGAAGAATCCATGTGTTATCGTTGACTGGTGAATTGTACAGTGTTAGACAAAATACATTTTACTTTTCATCTCAGAGCTATTTTTGCAACAAAATGTATTATCAGTTTCTATAGCTGTACCGGGGTAATTGGTATTGAATCAACAACATTCGTGTATTTCCACTTGGTTATAAACGAGTAATCACCTCAGTCAATATAAAATGCGACTATATTCCATAATAAAAAATCACTGCAAAAGAGAGTCCTTTGTGCAAATACGATTATGTCTTAAGCATGTGTATATCGATTCCTTTATTACTTTTATCTGTACAGTTAATTGGTATGTCAAATAGCAGTATTGGTACAGGTTGGGGTTTTAAAAGATGGTGACAATGGACATATGAAGGAGGATGTACAACTACTGCACTCTAATTAATTAATTTCTTAATATACTAGCCTTATATAAATATTTGCCTAAGTTACATAATACTCAAACACTGTTAATACTAAGAAGTTGAATAAGCCTAAATATCGATGGACATTTGTAAAAATATGGTTTTATATACATTATTCTATAATCATAATGTGATGGACATTTCAATATAAAATGCAACTCATCTTCAATATCATTTTACACATTATGTATTATCAGTATTAAAGATTAACGAGAGCAGGTGTTCGAGTAAAGCCGATAATTAGAAGTCTTTGTACTTGTTTCGATAACTGTAGTTCCTTTTTCTAAAAATATACCTGAAGATCCAGGTTGAACTAAAACCCCATTTATTCGACTGTAGTACAGGAACAGTAAAAATTAAGAAATCTGGTTTCATGACTTTGACAGATCTTCCAATATCACAATGATGTGGACCGTAGTTTTTCTGGGCGTCTTGAGGCGTCTCCATGGCGAATGTAATGATGCCAGAATATCAGAACACCATGCTTCAACTACACAACGAGGGACGCCAGATGATGGGTGAGGGAGATTTCCTAATGAGTACGGAGAGGAAAACTATCGCTTTCTCGTGAGTAGCTGAAACAACTCTCCTTTTCATGACTTTACACAAAGTATTTCAAAACAATGCTGACTGGATTATGTATAATTTGTTTCGTTTATGTATGTATGTATGTATGTATGTGTATGTGTGTGTATGTATGTATGTGTGTGTGTGTGTGTGTGTGTGTGTGTGTGTGTGTGTGTGTGTGTGTGTGTGTGTGTGTGTGTGTGTGTGTGTGTGTGTGTGCTGTGTGTGTGTGTGTGTGTGTGTGTGTGTGTGTGTGTGTGTGTGTAGATTGGGGTTATGTATGTACCGAATGCCTGCATTAAACAATGAGATGGAATTTCCATGCACTTCCTGAAAGGAAATTAATCAATTGGATTGCACTGTACCAATACGAAGGTTTACATTGAATTAGAAGAACTGTTTATTAACATTTTCCCCATAAGACACACAATGGACACATTTGGAGACATGTAGTCAAACAAAGTGGCAGTTTTGATTTTTGTCAATTCAAGAACATATTACTTTCTGTGCATTCTTTCGCATGTCTTATATTTCAAATCAATTATCAATGTATATTGTTGTACGAAATGTAGTCCCAGTCTTGTAGTCTTTAGCTTAAATGCTCTTTGTAGATGCAGAGAATGGAACGAAGAATTAGCAAGACTTAGTAGAAGCCCAGAGATATGCAAACAGATGTCAGTTCAGTTACTCATCAAGACCTGAGTTCGGCCAGAACCTCTACATTGAGCAGTCGTCCCGATCGGAGGAAGAGTTCATGAATAGAGGCTTTAACGCTTGGAGGAACGGGGGTCGACTCATTCCGCTACAATGACAGAGAATGCTCTCCTTCCCAGAGCTGCTATTACTCACAGGTATTGTTGGGAATCCAGGGTTCCTTCTTACGTTTCATATTTTGTGGAAACTATCTACACATATAATATAATACTTACCTTACATTACACGTGGGGCAGGACTGACTTTAGTGTTTGCAAACACTCGGTGTTAACACTGTCTGCTGTTGATTCATAAACCTAATCATACAAAACAGATTTCAGATTTATTTATTTTCTGTACTTACAACCCCTTTCTGCATCTTTGATGGCTGAATATATTCATATTTATCGCATAGGCTTTACAAAGATGTTAACATTAATACAGACGAAACGGCATCACACCGCTGACTGAGTAAAAGTCGTTCTACATCGTCGTAGTCATCAATTTTCAGTTATCAGTATGAATATGCGATCACTGTACCTTGAAACATTGCGAATACTTTTGCAGAATATATTCCGAGTAGCAGTTTCTCAAAATATATGAGCGGGCGGTGGGGTAGCCTAGTAGTTAAAGCGTTGGCTCGTCACGCCGAAGACCCGAGTTCGATTCCCCACATGGGCACAATGTGTTAAGCCCATTTCTGGTGTCCCCCGCCGTGATATTGCTGGAATATTGCTAAAAGCGGCGTAAAACTAAACTCAGTCAGTCAGTCAAAATATATGACAGACATTGTACCATAACATGCGTATTAAATAACTTGTTTCGACTATTTAGGAGATCAGTTGCCTTCAAAGTAAAAGTCATGGGGTAGCCTGGTGGTTAAAGCCTTCGTTCGTCACGCTATCGATGCCAACATGGGTGCAATGCGTGAAGCCCATTTCTGGTGTCCCCGGCCGTGATATTGGTGGAATATTACTAAACTCGGCGTACAACTACATTCACTCACTCACTCACTCAAAGTGGAAGTCGCTTAACCTTAAATTTAAGAAAGATATGTTTCGAAACATAATAGGAAATTGGAATTTAGTTCTTGGCACAAAGATTCAGGGTGATAAAATACTTTTCACAAGGCTGTTACAAGAGGGGAAGTCGTTTAACCATTATACCATCCTGTAACAAAATCAGATGCCTTCACAGTTTACATGGCTTTCTTTAACCGTCTGAAATGTTTCCAAACGACTGTGTAATAAGAGTGGTAAGTTCAACATTTAAATTGTCAGCCTTCCTTACATGTTGCGCAGCATCCCAGTTCCAGTCTTTAATGTCAGAACTCTTGATGGACGAGGGCGCATGTTCTTTGCATGATGAGTTCAAAGAGCGTCATGCCACTCTTGCTCACATGTTGTTTGATGAAAAGCTTCAGAATAGTTTTATGAAAGAAATATCGGGGATATTGTCAGATTCCACACCATCATGTAGTTCAGAGCCCTAGTGTGATTAGCTCTATGTATCTCCGTGAATTTTCTTTCCATGGGAATAATTACCTTGCCTTTGCGTGTGTTCATCATAGTGTCTCCCGTAGAGTGACAGGATATACATCTACACACCGTTTGGCTTACACATGGTATCATCACTGCTTGATGGTCATTTAATTTGCTCAAGATTCCTGTTGTGCAACTTCTAAATAATGGATTTATTATCCAGGTTAACTGGGAGGACACTCGGGAATTTGGCTGTGCAATGAATAACTGCCCGTATATGTCTCAGTTCAGAGGTTACAATGACGTACGGTTCCTGGTGTGTTACTACGAGCCCAGGTAAGTATTTTTTTAGTTTAATCTGCCTGTCCATGTGTGGTCATTCACGACCCACAGATTCCAGTGTTGGTGTTTTGCGAGCAGCGACTCATTGGGTAACCATGACAAAATAGTGAGTTCAACGTTACAACCTACAGAAAGTGACTGGATCATGTAATTTCAGATCATGTTTTCATTGATAATGGTCCGAGTCTGACATTCAGAATACATGTACAACCCTCAGATTGAAACCGATGACATGATTTCGAAGGTGGAAGTACACACTCTTTTCTGCATGTGTAATACGTCACTGTGTTGTGTGATGTGAAATATTAGATATTGCATTCAGATGCAACGCCATTTTTGTGTGAACGTACTCCTCAATAATAGCGACATTCATACAATTAGTTCCTTTAATTCCATGCCTTTGGTGTATTTCACTTCAAGCGCCCTTCATGATACATTCCATCACAACAAAAAATTCCGTCTAAGACATAATGTATTTTACTTCATGTTTAAGGGGTAATTGGATGGGAGAGGATGCTTACGAACCAGGTAAATATCAACATTTTGAAATTCAACAAGTTTTGATACAAGTCGTCACTGCAATTATCATGTATTTCACTGGTCGAAAGGCGTGATGAAATCTGGAACGTCTCTTGACTATACAAGGCGGTTGAATACTTTCCTCGTTAAATATCTGTTCGTCCACAAGTGAGGAACACATAGCATTTGGCACAGCAAAAAGAATAATGTATAGACATCTTTCTAATTTGACCCCCAACGCTTGATGTGATTGATGTGATGTGATTTTTTTCTCTGCATCCCACCTGCAATTGGTAGGAAACCGACAGTGTCCCGTGCCTCATTTTTATTCATTAGGAATAACACATATGTTCACATTCATATAAAGAAGCTATAGATGTAGATGGATGGATAGATAGACATATAGATACATAGTAACATATGCGTGTGCCTGCGTGTGTGTATGTATATGCAGGATACTATCAAAAATTAAGGAATTCTTCTTCATTAACAAAGGTCTATCAAGCATCGTTTTATGTTTGTTTGTTTTATTTACAGCGAAATAGAGCCTTCGTAGGATGGATAATAATGGATGACTTTCAACCGGATGTTGCCTGTTCGAAGTGTTTAAATAAAGCAAAGTGATTGCAAAAGTAGCAAACACAAATAATGCCAACTCTGTTTTATGTTATCTGAACCAAAGTTGAATTGAGTTTGTGGCATGGTCAGCCTAGTCCGTCCTAAGTTCAGTTTAGTGCGTGTCAAGGTCAGTCTAGTTCGTGCCAAGGTCAGTTTAGTTCGTGCCATGTCTGTTTTAGTGCGTGCAAAGGTCAGTTTAGTGCGTGCCAAGGTCAGTTTAGTTCGTGCCCAGGTGTCCAGTTCTAGTTAGTTGCTTACAACACTCCTATAGCCGTGAATCGGAGGCCGGTGATACCACTTCAAGTTCTGTCTGGATCTCTTGTGCACGTTTTTGTTTGTTAGTTTGTACAATTCAGAATACATAACGACGGTCTGTAAATAATCTGTATCTGTCAGACTATCTAGTGATAGAATAATGAGCATCGATCTACGCAAATGGGATTCGATGGCCTACATCAACCAAGTAAGCGAGTCTAACCACCCGATCCCATTATTTGGTTCTTACGACAAGCATTAAGGCCAATTCCAACCCGGATCGTCACAGGTCGAGAAAATTACAAAGAGATACAGGTCACAGATGCTTCTTTCACACAAAATATATTAATCCTGTGGTTATGAGTTTGGAGAATCGAAACAGCCAGCTGAGGGATACAATGAGAGCTTTGGAGAATTAGATTTCTTGCTCACGAACATGTAAATTCCGATATACATAAGTAGTCATAAGCACCGTATCTAAACTGCAATAATGTAACTTTAAAAGTACATATGAGGATTTGAATTTCTTAACAACGATATACCGTGATGGCGGAACTATACAGCGCATGACCATAGTAGCCTAGTGGTTTAAGCGTCAACTCGTCACGACGAAGACACGAGTTCGAATCCCACATAGATAAAATGTGTGAACCCATTTCTGGTGTACCCCGCCATGATATTGCTGCAAAAACGGCGTAAAGCTATACTTACTCACCCACTCACTGTAGTAGTGAGTGATATCTATATAATGATGTCACTGCTGCGTGTTGACTGAAATGGCGTCAAAAGTTTGAAGCTTTGAACATGTCAAACACCATTGTAAGAACTCCCGAAAGAGACAGAGCAGAGAACAGTGAGTGAAGATAGCACTATTCTCTGACGGCGTGAGCTGGTTAATTGTTTACAGCAACAGTTCAAACAAACGAAAACCTCGTAACTAACGTATATATTGTACAAAGAACTACACACACATTGTCATATTTATGTTCATTATTAGATCAGTTAACCTGTCCTGTTGTGTTTGCTCTACACAGGAATACAAAAGTCCTGACAGTTACATAGCGTACAAAGAGGAGTAATCTGACCACTATGCTATACATGAGAGTGAATGATATTTACTACTGAGTCAGTGAGTGACAGTTGTTTAACACTTCGGACACAATTTCTCCATAAGAGCATTAGTGAAAAGATCCATGCCAGGCACGATGAAGTATTTAGATGTGAGCTGTTAATTACATTAATGTGACGCAATTATAAAATCATTTGAAAAAATTAATTCATTTGAAATCCTGGTAGTTGGCAAGAAGAACATATAATCCATACTTATTACATATGCTAGGATGATGATTAACTATCGTGAGTATCTCTTGACAATTCTAAATACTGCCGTGTGATGTTTTGAATTTCAGGGTCACCTCATTCAAAGACATATATGATCGATTTGATCTCACATAATTAATCATCTGACTCTTACTTCATACCCGGGGGAACTGGTGATTATAGGATTTCAGGGACCGGAAACTGCATAGCAGAGATGCTAATGATCTACTGATCGTGGGTTCGAACCCTAGTTTCTGATTATATCACAAGCACCATGCCACTGCTCGTGTATCGACCAGCATTGTTTCAAAATCTAGCTAACATGCTGTTGTAAAGCACGGTTACACTGACATGGTGTTGAACCCAACGAACCAATTTAGGAACTGTTTCTATTTGATGTCATTGTCAGGTAATGGTACGTGTACCCATTGGATGGCAGTTCAGTGACGTATTAGATTACATGAAGCGCAGATTGGAGTAGAGAGATCGAATCTTAACCTGATGGATCATCGTAAATGGAGACACACTCAGTCATCGTTATACGAATATATCTCTTCTTAAATTCAAAATTGTTTCGAGGGAGATATTATGACGAAACCACTGCCCTCTTTATTTAATTGAGGAAAATGGACTTCAAGAAACCTCCAATAATCTGTTTGATAGTTTTAATGGATTTGTGTTCGTATGACTGCATTATCAATGCTCACACTTTAAGTCAACTTTTTCCTTTACGTCGAACCTTTGGTGTCAACATTTCTCAACTTTTGAGGTACAATTGATCAACTCTTTCTACGGAGATTTCAAACAGTGGCATGTACAAGAACCTTTGCAAAATGGACATGACAGTTATCAAAAAAGTTTCCGATTCGAGTTTCAAGTTGGACTTTCACCATACTTATTCAGTGTTTAATCAGGTGAAAAAACTTTCATGCTTCTGATGGGGAAAGATACAATCACGTATTACTTAACCATTGGTATCGTGCTGTAGATACCAGTAATAGTAATAGATATTTCAGATGATTATGGTAGAGTGTTATCACCTTATTTAAATTGTAATATCTGTAGTGCAAGGTAGTAAACAATCAAGGTCTAGACGTGGTTAATGTGTGTGTGTGTGTGTGTGTGTGTGTGTGTGTGTGTGTGTGTGTGTGTGTGTGTGTGTGTGTGTGTGTGTGTGTGTGTGTGTGTGTGTCAGACATTGCCAATTTGAGTTAGCAGTATTCCACACACCTTGACTGTCATAAGAGGGGTCTAATGAGTTCTTTTTTTTTCTTTTTCTTTTTTATTCATTTCCATAGTTACATTCATACATACATATTATTACCACAGATGTGAGTGAGTGAATACGGTTTAACGCCGCTTTTAGGAACACTCCAGCAATATCATGGAGGTAACACCAGAAATGGGTCCCACACAGATTACTCGTGTGGGGAATAGAACCAGGTCCCCGGCGTCACGAGCCAAAGCCTCAACCACTAGGCTACACTGCCGCCTCAGTAACAGATATGTCTCTTTGCAGAGAAAATGATATGGTTTAGTATTTTGTTGGCTTGTGAAGTACCAAACCAAACTAGATATTTTTGTTATTTTGATTTCTTTGTTAAGGTATTTATTGATCCAGATCTCAAGCTCATTCCAAAATGTCTTGGTTTCATTACAATTCCAGTATACATGACAGATTGTTTCCTGTAGGTCATTGCAAAAACTGCATGTGTCAGAATCTACTAGTTTCATTTTCAAGCTCCCCTTTGGAATGTATTGTTCCATGTGAGAATGTAAACTGAAAATCAAGAGTCTGGCCGACTCAGTTGATGAATATTTTTGTGTTCAGGTTTTTTAGGTAGATGATAGTCACCAGTTTGTCTGTGTTACGGAGTTATTCAACAAAAGTAGAGAATGTTTATTGGAAAGTAAGACAAAAGTGTCTTATAGACAATAGGAAGATTATCAATAAAACGTTGGAGCCTTGACATTTCTATATTCAAATTTGTGATTCTTATATTCCTACCAATGTCTACAACGTGGATGTGTTTATGAATGTAATATTTGCGCTTATCAGCTTATCGTTCTGATCTTCAATAAACAATTATAACTTGTGACACAGCGTATTTCCATGAATTAAGTTTTATCTCAACCATGTGGGCCAATGTGCCATGTTCACACCAAGGAAGGGATGCGTCGGCTCGATGACATTATGTCCTGACGATGTGGATCCTCGTCAATGACTTTAGCTGATGCTGCTGAAACAACCTCTTTGCATACAGATGCATAGGGATATAATATTGCCCAAACGACAAGAGGGATTGTGTCATCTTTCTTATTATTACAAGGAAGATACATCCCACTTGTGTTACAAGGAATGCTTCCCCCCTGAGAAACAAGTGAAACAACCTCATCTGTCTCAACATTTACATTTTTGCATACAGATTCATATTGATATAATATTGCCAAAACGACCTTTCTTATTTATACAAGGAAGATACATTCCGCTTCAGTGACAAGGAATGCTCCCCCTACTCAGAGTTGAAATTACTTACATGTACTGATGTTGATTTCACCATGGGACTTCCAAACTTTCTTTTGTCTAAACGTTTAGAAAACAAATATAATACAAAGCAGCTTCATACTGCCTCAAAGGCATCTCATAGTATTCGATTCACATGATGCATGAGGGTTAACACGGTTTTACGTATCACTGGTCAAAATTATGTTTATTTTTTCATATACATGTAGAATATTGTTTTCCCATGTTTTCGTTTCTCGAGGTAAATATTTCCTTGCCTTTGCATGTGTTATTACAACGCCATCGACCGGGCACAATATGTGCACTTTACACAAACATCTGGCATAATCATTATTTGATCGTGATTCCCAAACACAATACTCTGAATCGTAAATGGGTTCTGTTTTAGTGAGGAGGTGAGTTTAGTTTAACGCCGCTTTTTAAATATTACAGAAACACCAAAACGGGGGACACATTGCGCTTCTCACATTATACCCATGTGGGGAATCAAACCCGGGTCTATGACCTGACGAGCGGACGCTCTAACCACTAGGAAGTTATGGCAGTTGTTATCATGATCAGTTTTCACATAAAAGGAGTTTTCTGTTTCTTTTGTACTCCAAAATGGCATGGATATCTTAAACGATTCTCAGAATACAATGTGCTTAGTTTATAACGTGTTCTGAGAAATGACTTGATCGTATGTAGTGTTTGGGGATATCCTCTGTCGATTCCACCTCAGGATAGGCAATATGTGCTTGTTGTAAGGCAGGTAAACGGATAAGAGGATAAGGGTCAGGGTACAATAAGGTGCTCCATTCTGAAACAATACTCACTTTCTCTAGAATATAAATCACATTGTTATTATAATTAAACTTATGTAATAATAATTATAATTTCTTCCTTGAAGGGCTAATATCACCTGATCTAAGGTAAGCCAGTACAGATTGTGCTGGATC